ATGGCTACGTTTACACTATAAATTCTTCAGATTTAACTCCCGAGTTAACTTATTATTTTACATTACAAATCTTTAACAGATCACTAAGATTTAGACATTTCTACCTTAACTGTGTCGCTTGTCGATTTCAATACTATCAAAAGTTGCGGTTGCTACAGTGTAAACCTTGAATCTGCGTTCTACAGTTGCGTTTCCAACAGAGTCGTATCAAATAAGAGATATCTTCTTTGCTTTTCTATCCTGCACATGCCTCGCCTCACACATATCACACAGCTCTACTATAAACTCATGCAGAGAAATGAGTAGAGAATCAGATGTTGGTGGCGCCAATTCAGTTTCAAAGAAACAGTTTTTCGTTGTCTAATGGAACCTTATTATTGGTCACTGACCTCGTTCATGATTGGGGAGTTAAAATTAAATGATGCCGAAAACTTAACTTTTCTACCAACCATCTTTCTTAACACCGAGTTAACTGTTCTAGTGTAGACTAGGCCTAAATCTCTATCTGAATGCTAGAGACATAATGTATTGATTCGTGCACATATATTATCAATAAATCTCTTTTTCTTCGGTGAGTCTGAATATTTATGTGACACCTCACCGTTGGAAGTTTTCATACTTTTGCAACGCTAACAAGCTTTTTAATTTTTTTCTGTTTCGATTTTAGCGGCATTTTGGAGCAAAAAAAAAGAGAACCAATAAAAGGAAAAGCTAGCGCTGCTTGTTTTTTTCCAAAACTAAGATTCTTAGTTACAGAAACAAAAATTCTGGATCAAGAGTCTAAATAATTGTATATTGAAAGAGCCTGCTGTGTGCTTATCGAATGTTCTCATCGCAAGAAGACGAGATTAGTGACCAAATCCATCAGATCAAAATCTTCTTCCTCAGTCAGTACTGCAGTCTGTACCAAATACTGTTAAATGAATAGCTGCAAAAATACCAGTAGAATAACCCACAACTGATTGTCTTTCTCTTTTTTCTTTGTTTCGCTTGTAAGACAGACCTTCTCATTAGTCCCTTGGTAGAAAAAAGTCACTTTTTTTCATTTCACAAGTGTTTGTTGTAATGAAAATTTTGCTTTTCCAAGAAAAAACTGCCTGATACTCTTCTGTTTTTCTCTAGATTTAGAAAAATATCTCGTGATCAACTCCTCATTTTTCTAAAAGTTGTATTTGGCCACCATGCTAGCGTCTGTCCATTAAAAAAATGAACTTGGCTATTTTTGGAATAACTCAAGAATGATAAGTGATAGAGAGTTCAAATTTTGACCATTGAAAAGAAGAGACTTCGGAGTATCCTTTTGTAAGATGTATTAATTCAAAAGTATTTTTTAAGTATACTTTCTAAGAGATCTTTGAAAAAGCAAGTCTTACCTCGTTTTTTTATAGGTAGATAGTTCGTTGTGTGTTTTTCAAAATGGGAAACACACGAGACCTTCATTTTTCACCGTTATTGAACTTCCTTGAAACCTCAGAACTGGTACCACGAGTCTTACACGCGCATTATATGTATGCAATCGACCACGCTGAATCTAGTGGCAATGTTTGTTTTCGGAGAAGAATTACAAAATCGGCGAAAATCGAAATTTTTGAAGCAAATAATTATTGTATTGTGTTTTACTTTATTTTTCGACTATGTATTTTAATAACAACAAAAACTTCACAACAAAAACAAAAAACAATACACGTTTTCATAAAACAATTGATGTTGAGGATGATATCATTTATTTTCCTGCTGTAAAGACAATTTCCATTATCTCAATGATCATTTCATCCATTGTTTTTAATCCAATTTTTTGAAACCAATGTCGCTGGAATATTCGCGAAAACATTGACGGCAGATGTTAAGTCCATATTTTCTAATTATCCCATGACCATTAGAACACACACGACATTTTCGACTACCTGGACCATATTTTCTAGGGTGACTACGAAATATCGATGAATGACCCATATTTAGTTTTATTCAACTTGAACTTTCCTTTAATTGTTGTTAAATTATTTCTCTAACGAGAATTAGTGTAATTCTAATCTAAAATGAAAGAAAGAAACTTTAATAGTTAAATAATGACATTAGTTCTTTGTGAAATTGAACAATCATATGAATCACTGTCAGAGAAAGAGAATTATATTTATCTGATAGATCTTAGCCAAAATTATTGCCGTACTTTGATATTATGAATGCTGCAAGTCCTGACAAAACAACAAACACAGATCGAAAAGATCACCTAAATGTCTTGTTGTCATTCTATTCCTGTTTTCATAAAAAGTCGGACGCGGCTAAAATATAATTTTACAATTACTTCTCTTCTCTACTATACATATTAAAACAGAAAACATTTTCAGGTGTTAATTAGGTTTTACTTTTATCTTCGAAAACGGTCAAAACAAAAAATAATCGCTATATCAGTTAGACTAGTTGGTAGCAGAAAAATTAAACATATCGCACATAATTTCTGACCATTCCCATTTCATCACCTTTTTGGCATTGATGATCTAAACTTCTTTATTCACTTTTCGTGAATGAACTTAACCTCTGTGTCATTATGTTTCGTTCATTTTTGAAAAATGTAAGCTAACTTGTTACGGAGTCACCACTAATAGGCGCCGAAGATGAATGTCTTTAGATAATTCAGTAGAAAACTGAACATTAATAAAAAAACGTTTATTGTTGTAATATCAATCGCTTTCTTGTAAAAAATTCGACAAAATAATGTTAAGATATTATTATTTGCTAATGTTTGAAGAAAACTGATAGCTTTAACTCATAAAATAATAACTTTCACAAGTTTATTGCATAATAACCTATTTCAAACAAAATATTTTGAATAAAAGATATAGGGACTACACCGTTGCAACTACAAGGTCAAGGACGAAATTTAGTTTTCTCCAATTTGGGCTGAAAAAATATGATTGAACTCTAAGATAAAAATACCACACAAGACGCTCTTTAGTAATGGATAAAGAGAAGACTTGACCCGTGTCTTATCGAAATCTAGGCTACATTACCGGTTAAAAATACTGTAAAGCCATGGTTTACGTTTGACAGGACGTGTTTGATAGCGTAGCATGTGAAAAATTTGTTTATAAAATGCAAGGTGCGTTTAGACTGTCGGAGAAGTTGATCACCCAGTCCGGTAACCCTTCTTGATCATTTCTGCTCTGATATATTTTTTTCGTTCGATAACTTCCACTGTTTACCTGTGTAACAAGCGAAAGCCATCATATACCTGATTGGTAAGTAGATTGGGTGTGAATTAGGTTAATGCAAAAGTATATGAAAAGAGCGTCAAATAGTTAAATAACAGTAAAAAAATTCTGTGAAAATAATTATAAAATATGTTCGGAACTATCACTAAAGATAAGAATCTGATTAAGTAAACATTTGATAAAGGTAGCTGTATGATAATAATGTCTCTAAAGACTTGCATTGGTCCACACGTTTTCCTCACTGCCATGAATGAATATAACTCCTTTCAACGTTTTTCATCATACCAATGTTTCTCAATTTTTTCGAAGATGAAGTCAGTAGAAAAGAAATTCAGTTTCTCTAATAGCTTAATTTGAGATGCAATCGGAACGTTGATCTAGCAGAAAAATAGGAAAAATAAAAATATTTTAGAAAAAAAGAGAAGTAATAGAGTCTTTCTGTAGATATGACACGAAGTTCGTTTGATTCTGACGCGAGGAAATGAGCTACTCTCTTAAGGAGAGCTTGAAGAAACAAGAATCCTGTAGTTCTAGCCAGAGGAGAACCTGGCTCAGAGTTCTTTTGTTATACCGTTTGGGTTACACCCTTACCAATCATGCAGTAACTGTCTGACAAACTACAGAAACTATGAAAACTAAAGACCAAGACTAGTTTATTCACAAAACGTGAGAGTCATCAAAGGTTCCCGACCTGTAATAACAATGACTCGAGCCAAACTACAAAAATGAAACAGAAAAAAAACTAGAAATAAACAAAAGAAACATGACTTTATTATGTCTAGAAACATGGATTCTACTGTAAGAGATACTGGACTAGTGCTGTTTACCTCTCTGATAACATGTTGCATGGCACAATGGAGTAAATTTAAGTAAGAAATATAGCACTGCGACAAAATGCATGTTCAAGTTATCACTTAAAACACTACTCGAGCGAACAATGGAGTAAGTATTCTATAGAACGGATGATCAGCATATATGATGAATTTACACCTCTCCTGACTTTTTCTTTCGCCACGGCCCTGTGTATTAGACAGCTAGAATAGATACTACATTTCTAAAAATCCGAAACTTCTAGCCTGACAAATAATTTCAAGAAATTGTTTGTCTTACTATATTATTTTTATTTTTCATCAACGTTCATTGATGGTGTAAACATGGTGCCGGTGTGGTGCATATTGATTTTCGTTTTGTTGTGAAGTTTGATGCACTCCGTGTCTGACTGAGAATTCTACAAAAAACGTTATTTGCGAAGTATATCACAATAGTGCATTATAATATTATTTTATAGTTTATTCACACCCTTATCTGAATGTTTTCGTTATCATATGCAAAATCCACTTACTATAGATAGATAGATTTATTTTACACAAAGGTAGGAGGATATCACGAAAAAGCACCAAAAAGACTTGTGGCATCCGGAGACACCTCATGATAACCTAAACTAAAAAGTTTCTAAAAAGAATCGCTACTATAAGACATACATTGTAAGAGAAAACATAAGTGCGATACATTTCACACTATTGTGTCATTGCAGTTGTTGTCGTAGAATAATGAGTGGTTAGTGTGAACTGACTTTAGATTAATAGGTTAGTTTTCATTACTTGATTGCATTGAAAGTTCATTTGAAGTTTTTGATTTTAGATATAAGTTTCAATTTGTTGACAAAGTGAACGTACTCTAATTCAATCAATCAAAAATGGTAAGTGCAGACTTATTTACGTTTGGTTATTATCTGCAAATTATTCTTGATTCTTTATCTCCTTCTAGCCGACACAAGGCAAAAGCAGCAAAATGTTGCAGCATATAAATTATCGTATGCGCTGCACATTACAAGATGGACGACAGTTAGTTGGAACATTTAAAGCATTTGATAAACATATGAATTTAATACTGGCTGATTGTGAAGAATTTAGAAAAGTACGAAGTAAAGTTGATAAAGCTGAAAAAGAAGAACAACGTCCATTAGGATTAATATTATTACGTGGAGAACATTTAGTATCAATGACTATCGAAGGACCTCCTCCAAAAGAAGTAAGAGTTCTACTTCACTGCAATGTTTTTATAACTTGATATAATATTTCGTTTCTTTAGGAGGTTGGCATTGCACGCGTTCCTACAGCTGGTATGTCAGCGGGAGCTGCACGTTCTGCAGGCCGTGGTAAGATAAAAAGTACATTGATAATGATAATCGAATTTTGATTTCATTCTTTCTTTTAGGTATAATTCCTCCAACACATGCTGGTCCAGCACCCGGTTTACAAGGACCTGTTCGTGGAGTTGGTGGACCTGGATATCAGCAAATGACACCAGGCAGTCGTGGAATGCCCGGAATGGGAGTACGTGTTCCAATGCCTCCAAGTATGCCTCAAAGTAAGTTTAGAACAATGCTACATCTTGTGAAACATACATAATTCGTCCGTTATAATTGATAGCAAACTAAACTTCTAAGAATGGTGACTATTCACGTTTTCCACTTTTCTTTTAGGGCCAATGTGAATGATATGATCGCTGTTTTTGTGTTTATTATTACTATGTCCATCTTCTTTTCTTAATCTGTTATCGTGTTTTTTGTTTTCTTTTCTCTCTGTTTGTTTGTGTTTGTAAAAGTCAAAATCAGATTTGATCGAAAATCTACTTTTTCGTTTCAAGATCTAGAATGGAACATAAAGCAGAAGTCACCACGTCTCTAACTATTAATTTTATTTTCATAGCAATCAAGAGGAACATGGACTGCAAGAATGCAATTTTACTGTTAAACAACATCCTAAAATATTTTAGTTACTATCCTTAAAATTTGTATCGAAAATTGGAATATAACTTTTACAATGGAGGTTCAGTTTTTGTATGACAGCACAGCAAAGTCATTTTTGATTATTTTTGAAAACCATATTTTTGTTAAAACTGCATCCAGTGAACTACATTAAATCTCTTTATCAATGGAAATTGTCAATCATTTTCAACTTTCAATGTTTCAGCAATATACTCTCATATGTATTCTCCTTTTGTGCCGCAGTTGTTTGTTTTATCAAGACAAATTAATATTTCAAAGTATTTTTATGAGCTACGCTTTTTGAATACATTAAAGCAAAACTATCACTTAAAACTTGTATTTTCAATAATGTACGGCAGTTTGACTTGATATTTTCCATTGAGAAGAAGTTTATTGTTCATCTACTATCTTATAATGAACCGTATCATGTGAAAATGAACCTGAAAGAAAATTTATTATCATATACAACCAACAATAATTTTTTCTTACGTTATACGTCTTGATAATACCAATTCCATGTATCTTGGACTAGTATGAAATGCATTTTCTATAGTTTTTCGTAAATATAGTAACAAAAAGTATAAAAGACTAATTTCGAAAGATAACAATAACAGAAAAAAAGAGTATTTGTCAGTAAAGAAAAAAAGTGTTACTTGATTGTAACATAATAAAACGAACAACAACGGAATTTTTTACATTGATCATTTGTGGGGGGGGAAAAAAATGTTCACTTTCTTGTTCCAGATTAAACGTACTACTAATCTAACACTCCGATGGAATAGTAGACGGTGTTTAGTATTTGTGCTGCTCACAGTTCAACAGAACGCTGAAAACTTCTTTGCAAAAGCACTTTCACTAAGAAAACAAATATCGTTAAAAAAACAGATTGCATGCCAATTATAGTCACATGGTCACAACCAATGCTTCTTGTAGTACAGCACATAGAAAATCCATTTCTTCTTCACTCATATCAACATTCAGAATTAAACGTACAGATGGTTGTGGTAAAACATGTTCATCTTGTAAATAACGTGCGACAGTTATTGTTATATGTTTTGTTTGTGCAAAATGTACAATGGATTCTAAACGTCCAATTGTATTAAATTCATCGGGTAAACGAAGGTGTTTTAATGGCGACAGATAATCACCTTGTATAACGTAACCTTTAATGGCAATTAATTTATTATGCAATTGTTTAGATTTATACATTAAAGTTTCAAATAAGTCAGAATTTTCTTCCATTATGTTTAATGCTTCTATAGCTGCTGCAGCTAACAGTGGAGGTAGAGATGCCGAAAAACAATAACCTTGTGCAGACAAACGTTGATGATCAATAACAAATGAACTACCGACTAAAAAAAACATAAAAGAATAGTTAGATAAAAAATTATCAAATGAGCTTCAAAATAGAATTCTTACCAGCAAATCCTCCAATTGAACCGACAGCATATTCTAATGTGCTTGATATTAAATCAATTTGATGACGATCAATATTATAATATTCTGTAATACCACGTCCTGTTTGTCCAATTGTACCAAACGATACAGATTCATCAATAAATATTCGATATTTATATTTATATTTTAATTCAACCATTCGTGGTAACGGACATAAATCACCATAATTCATATATAAACCTTCGACAATAAGAAAACGTCTTGTTGCACGTGCTTTTTTCATATTTTTCTTATCTAAATTTTCTTGTTCAATTAACAAACGTTCTAAATCATTCAAATCATTATGTTTAAACCATTTAATATGGCTACGTGATGCTTCAATGCCTTTTTGTATCGCATAATGAACGCCTTCATCAACAAATATAACATCATTACGTTTTGAATAAGCTGGTATGATACTGGCAATTGTTGAAAATCCGTACGAATAAATAATGCCTTCTTCACAACCTAGAAAACGTGCTAAACGTTCTTCTAATTCTAAATGAATATCAATTGTACCATAAAATCTAAAATAAAGAAGGATATGTATCCTAAAATAGTTTTAAATAAATACTATTTTGTTTATTTACCCACGAGGACCACAAGAGCCAACGCCATATTTCTGCACAGCTTGAATTGATTTATTTTGTATACGTTCATTACCAACAAAATTTAAAAAATTTAATGTAGCAAAATTTAAACTTTCTTCATTATCAATTGTGATATGTTTTCCCACAGGACCATCTAAAACACGAACATTCAATGCTGGATGATTTGGATCAACAGCAGGTACTAATGGTTCAGGTTGCCATTCATCAATTAATTCTTGTTTTTCTTTTTCCGTTAATTTTTTTTCAATTGGATGAGGTTTACGAAAAAACAATAGCCACATAACAGAGAAAAATAATAAAATTTCTAAGACAATATGATACATTGGTGCATGATAAAACGATTGTAGCAGACCATAGAAATCGGTGGCTAAACCTTCGGTATCAATAGTAGAGATTAATGATAATAACATGTTTCAAATCAAATCTTGAACGAAAGTTAACAAGTTAATTACAAGAATCTTGAAATAAAAAAAGGTATCAATTTTTTTGATCACCAAATTTTTCAGCATAAATCTCACATTTTTATTTCTCAACAAAGTATAATGTACAACACAAACATATTCATTGAAATATTAGACAAATGAACAATATTTTTACGATATACGTAATGTATATCGTATGTTCTGTATGATATCAAAGAACGAGAAAGAAAGAAATGAATCATACTGTAACAATATTGAATAAAAAAAAACGCGACCATGCTTTTTTGAGCCCTCAGTATATGTATATCTATTTACAACTTTTAAAGCTTGCTAACTTGCTAAGCTTTAAAGCTTTGCTAACTTTCTCGGAACGCCCTTTTGTTTTTCGTTTGCCTAATGGTTGAATAGGTGTTTTATCGCTAATTTGATACAAGTTAAATAAAATTGCTAATCCAACAGAATGTCTACACAAATATATTTTCATACCAACCGGACAGCTACATGATTCTAATGGTACAACAAGCTAACAGGATTATTGCCACATCAGAAAATCATTGAATGTGTCATAGGCTAGATGATATTTATCGTTCTCGTCAGTGACTTACATTCAATGATTTTCTGGTGTGGCAACAATCTGTTGGATTAACAATTTTATTTAACTTGTATTAAATAAGCGATAAAACACCTCTATTCAACCATTAGGCAAACGAAAAACAAAAGGACGTTCCGAGAAAGTTAGCAAAGCTTTAAAGTTGTAAATAGAACTAAATAAAACGGTGTAAATATTGTTCATTTGTCTAATATTTCAATGAATATGTTTGTGTTGTACATTATAATTTGTTGAGAAATAAAAATGTGAGATTTATGCTGAAAAATTTGGTGATTAAAAGTATCTTTTTTTTGGTGAATTTCATAATTTGTATCTAAAAATATTTGGTGATTAAGAGTAAATTTACTCTAAAAAAAGTTCAGTCTATTGACTCTGTTTCTCAAACATCCGTTTTGAGGTTCTTCAATCGAATGTATTAGTTTAAACTCTAAATCGTATTATTTTGACTAAAAAAACTTCAAGAAATAATCGAAAAATAAATTCACATGCTGAAATTTTTGAAATTGACAGTAATTGAACTAGTACATTATGTTGAAACAAATTCTGCATTTTCTGCACGTGCAAACGAATTTTTCCAAAAAACATTAGCAGCCACTATCCCAAAATATACAGAACACAATGCTTTTCTGAATGTATTTCAGAACATGTATACTGTCTGTAAAACTGTTAGCAATTTCAACAACAAGTTTTATTCAATAAGACTGAACCATGTGTAAACAATGGTTGCCTCAAGTATTTAATAGCAATCGACGAATTCTTGATAAACGGAAAGATCATAGTTAGCCTAAGGAAAATCAATTTAGTTTTTGTGGTGGTGCAGAAAAAAAAGGAAAAAGCAAGGAAAAAATGCATTGTTTATATAGACAATGCATTTTTTTCTTTTTTTTCTGCACCAACAGTTTTTATATTTATGAACAAATCAGATGAGGACTTTTTGAAGTGCTGAGTTTCTCTTGTAAAATTCATGTTATCTTGGAACTATTTGTTTCTTTTAGATTTTAGCGTACTCATTAGTTTTCATTTTTTTTCTTCAAAAAAAAGAAACACCTTTTAATCATTATCTATGTTGGCTTCTTATGTTTATAAAAGGCAATGGCTCAGTTTGTTTATTTATAAACTCATAAACAACAGAAACAAAGACATATCCTTTTATCCTTAAAAAGGATTCTGTATAATTTTAATGAGCGTCAATAGTATAAATTCACTTTCATCAAAATATCGTTACTATTTCCATTGTGCAAAGATCTTAACCCTTTACCTTCCTTAGTCATTGGAGTGGCTATTTGTAGTACGATTGTAATAAAGAAGCATGGAATTCAAAAACTTTGAGAACATTTCTTGTAGTGAACTCCATAAGCTATCAACTGATTAAAAAAATATTTTGTTATGTTGCTCTACCGCAAAAAACAATGAGTTACAAAATACAAAATCGGTAAGTTTGAAAAAAAGCTCAAGAGTTGAATTTTTTTAACAATTATTTTTCTACCAATAGACAAGATACATCTTGGGGACGTATTGTGTGATATATATTGACGATAATGTCTACTACTGGCATCAATGCCTTTCGACCGTTTCACAAAAGTTAGGTAGATAAGAGATGCCCAAGCAGACAAACATTTGGAAAAACGCGTTTAAACGCTCAAAAG